TTGGCTCCACCTTCTTCCCACCTTATCTGATTCTACGTGAAATTTGGATCTGTGAATAAGCCCATTCCCCAGTCTCAGCTCAGAGACCTTCTCCAGTAAATATAAAGATTTCCCATCCCTACAGCAATATAGAAATTGCCTTTCCCAGGGACATTATGTTCTCAGGCCTTCTGCCAAGGCAAAAGCAGATACCGTTCCATCTCAATTTCCCTGGGTTCCTGAGAGCCTGAGATTGCAAGGCAAACTAGTATGCCACTTCTGGTGAATTGATGCTATTAATTAGGCCCATTGAAATCTTTATCTGTTTCCCAATGGAGACAGTTCATAGAGTGTTGGGAACGTTGTGTCTGCTGCTGGGGAAGAGCTGCGAGGAGAGCCGCACGTAGTCTCTATTCTCAGCACTGTCCTTCCTGGAGGTTACCAAATCCTGAGATATCAAGAGGCAGGCTTGCTCTTCTGAGCAGAAGCCGGTGCTGGGGCTCATGTGTGGGAAGTGGCTTTCTGTTTTCATATGCTACTTGTTAACATTTGAATTCTGTTCTGTGACATGCAGGTGGCAGTTTGGAAACTCAGTTCATGTCTTAGTCTTAGCACATTAAATAAAATCCTTCAAATTTTAGATCCTAGGGAGACCTTATTTTCCTAGACATTGATCCTTTCTTTCCTTCTCTCTCTTTCTCTCTCTCTCTCTGTCTCTGTCTCTCTCTCTCTCTCTCTCTCTCTCTCTCTCTGTCTCTCTCTCTCTCAGAAGGGCATGCGCTGTCAGGAAATTTGTGGCCTATGATGAGAATTGTTGCTACACTGTGGGCCTTGAATCCAGTCTTACGAGTGGGTTCTTTGCTCCACCAGAACAGTCACGTCTTTCTCCATCCGGTATCAGGCTCGGTGCCCTTATCTCCGACATGCCAGGATCCCAGAATTTCCTAGAGAAAGCAATTTGGATGGCTCTCTGAAGCTCTTAAGAGCCAAATGGCTACCAGGGACAGGAGAAGCGGCTGGGTGGACAGAAAACACCATCTAAGGCCGCTGTGTTATAAAAGAGAAAATACTGCCCATAGGAAGCATATCTCCAGAGGTGGGTGTTTGAGACCTGGCCTGGGGCTTTGTCCTCTGATGACCCCATCCAAATGTGTTCCTAGAAGAACTTCTCCTGGAAGATAGAAAAGGACGGACCGACATGTTGAAGCCTTGTGCCACAGGTGAAATTTTATGCTCCAGGTGCTGCTAGATTCTTCTAGAGTCTGACTTCCTTTGGCTTGGGAGCAGCACCGTTAACTTTCTTCTTACATTGCATGCAGCACTGTCAGGGTTTCCATCTATGTGGTTTGTGCCCAGCATCCTTCGTCAGTCAGGGGCTTTCTAGTTGGTATCTTCCTTGGTGTCTTCAGGTAGAACGCAGCTGAGACAGGAGCCTGGAGGAAGGGACATGTGGCTCACACATCACCCTTTGCAGGAGGCAGCGTGTACACATACCTTCCTCATGCAATTCAGGTGAAGCATAGCTTTCTGCCAGCCCTACCCCAGCCGTGGGCATCTTCCAGAACTACTGCCATAATCCTCTAATGTACACCCCGTTTTTGTGTTTGCATCCGTGAAATGTACTCTAAGCAAAGCATCCCACGCAAACCTTTTAATACTGGGTGTGTTTCTGCTACCACCCCCACCCTCCCCCCAATGTTATCCCATCACTTCGACATGCCTGAGTTCTAACCATGACTCTTGAAGTTGCCCACATTTGGTCCTTGCTGCCTTCTTTCCTTCTTTTGCCTCCTGTAGCTATAACCACCTTGCTTTGTCTACAATGAGTCATGCATACTTTTCACTCAGGACCTTGCTCCTCCCCTGATGGGCTTGCCCTGTACTTTGGTTTTTCTGATCCAGCCATTTTCCTGGAGGGTATCCTTGACAGGTTATCTAAACTACAGCTATCATTCTGTATTCTATTTTTACTTTCTGTCTTAGTTGTTGTCTTCACCTGGCTTAATGTCTGCTCAGTTCCTGGCTCCCAGCTCAAATGAGCATCATGAAGGGTGTGGCTTTGTCTGTCATAGTCTTACTGACTCCCCAGCAGCAAGAACAATGCCTGACTCATAATAGGGCACGCTAAGCAAATGAAATAAGGACAATACATGATGTGATGTGTGTGTGTGTGTGTGTGTGTGTGTGTGTGTGAGAGAGAGAGAGAGAGAGAGAGAGAGAGGGAGAGAGAGGTAACTTAGGAAGGCTAGGCCCATACAGAGAGAGAGAGAGAGAGAGAGAGAGAGAGAGAGAAAGAGAGAAAGGTAGAGGAGTAACTTAGGAAGGCTAGGCCCATACAGAGAGAGAGAGAGAGAGAGAGAGAGAGAGAGAGAGAGAGAGGAGTAACTTAGGAAGGCTAGGCCCATACAGAGAGAAAGAGAGAGAGAGAGGGGAGTAACTTAGGAAGGCTAGGCCCATACAGAGAGAAAGAGAGAGAGAGAGAGGAGTAACTTAGGAAGGCTAGGCCCATGCATCCCGATTTAGTTTCATTCAAAGAGTTTTGCATTTTGCCCTAATTGATGTTCCACCTAGAATCTTCCCATCTCAAAATTGTTCTAGATGTTCTAAGACCGTCATCACAATTCCTTTGAGGCCCAAGGGAAGAACACTGGGCTTTCTACCCTACTCTGTCCTCCACTGACAAGTTTCTCTCAGAAAACCACAGGCCTATTCATTTGGCATCAGGCTGAGAAGTAGATTTCCTTTCAATATTAAGGAACCAATCCTCAGAAAATGTCACATATGAATGGATGAAAACAAATACGGAGGCTGGAGTGATGACTCAGCAGTTAAAAACTGGTTTTTTTTTTATTTAATAACTTTCAAATTCTTTAATAGCAATTAAACAGTTATTGCAGAGGACCTGTGTTTGGTTCCCATCACCCATGTTGGGTGGCTCCCAACTGTAACTCCAGCTTCAGTAGAATCCAACACCCCTGGCTCTGACGGGCACTTGCACTTACGTGGACGTACCCACACAAGACACGTGCACCTACACATAATTCAGAATCATCTTTTTTAACTAAAGAAAGCAAATATAATGACTAAAGACTTAACGTTCTGTCCCAGAATTAAACACTCCACACTCAGCTGGTTATTCAGACCTGAACTCTCATCTCCTAGATTATAAGCCAGATCTGTCTACCGAGCACAGTTAATCTAGAGGGTGCACTAACCTCACCTTCCTGAGTGGAGTGAGGCATAGCCTGCCGTCCCCTACTGATGAAAAAGACCTCACTGTGTAACTGGTGGATCCTAGGCAACCACTGGCATTCTTTAGTCAGCAGGAAGTCACGTGTGAGGCTTCCCGCAAAGCCAAAAAGTGCAGGACAATTAATCTTGTATTTTAGGAGTATAGAAAAGGTCACCGATGCCAGTGTTTCAAGGAGAGAATTAAGGAGGAACACTTGTAAATGCGAGATTAATACAAGATGGTAGATCAGAAACCCGATCCCTAAGTGTGCATGAGCAAAAGATTTTAACTTTACTAAAAATTAATAGTGACCGGCTGGAGTGATGACTCAGTGCTCTTCCAGAGGATCTGGGTTCAATTCCCAGCACCTGCATGGTGGCTCACAACTGTCTGTAACTCCAGTTCCAGGGCATCTGATACCCTCATACTGATACACATAAAATAAATTTTAAAATATTTCTACGTGGGAGAAAATTATAGTGATGATTTAGGGACGGTGCAAGAAGAGCAGGCGTCACCTGAATGATCAACTTGGCCCACGCTTCCGAGGTACCTATGAGGGTGGGTGTGGTAGTTTTGGAAGAGCTGAGATGGTAGGCATGTCTATGCACACAGAGAGCCAAGGGGTGGGAGGCCAGTCCCATGTGCTGTGCCTCTTTACATGGATTAAGGGCTCTATAGTGTGTGACCTTCAATGTTTCCAAGATTCCATCCCTCCCCTCCCTGCCCTTCTTTCCCCGCCTTTCCTTCCCCATCCCTCCCTTTTCTCCTCTTTTCTCTCTCCCTCCCTTTCTTCCCCCTTCCTGTCTTTCCTTTTTGAGTTTCTCTGTCTTCCAATTTACCTATCTGCTTCCAGAGTCAGTTTCAAGATTTTTCAGCCCATATAATTCAAACACTGGAGGCCCATTTCTTAGAAAAGATTCATGTGGAAAAATTCTAAGGCTCATGAAGATTTAACCTTATCATGAATCTATTTTAACAGACCTTGGAAAAGTCGAGGAGGCAGAAAATGCAAGAATGGTTTCCCCTGCTTGTCAATGCCTGTTTTATCCGCCATCCTAGAGCATCGTCCCTGTAGGCACGTGCAGCCTGGTCTAGCCATCCTCAGAGGGAAGGGCTGTTCGTTACTATTTTGGAACATGGCTTTGACTTTGTTTCTTTCATGGAAAGAGGGACAGGGATGGGGGGTGGGGGGTGAGGAGGTACCTAACACGCCGTCACTTGTACTGAGGCCCTACTGTCCTTCTCAGTGTGGCAAGAGAGGGGTCATCTAGCCTGACCCTTTCAGGTCTGGGTGATTCTGAGTGTTTTCCTTAAAGGGCAGTTGAGTCATTCTTAGTTATTCAGCTGAGCGAGAAGGAATATTTAAGCAAATATTTTCTGAAAAGATCTCTAGAAAAAATGGACTTGCAACAGTTATCTCAAAAATAAATTTTTATTGACGATAAATGTACAGTTCATTTAGAGAAAAATAATTATCTACAGGTCAGCAGGGACTGGACGCGTTCCAATGTGTGCCTCGGCAACAGTGACCATCCTAAGGCAGTGGTCAGGTCGTGCGCGTGGGCCTCCCGAGGCGTCACACGCTCCTAAATCATATTTTTAGTATCAAGTGTGATGTTGAAAAAAGGCGAGACAGTTTTGTGAAAGCCAGTCATTTTGTTCAAAAACATTCTCTTCTCCCCAAGGGTACATGTAAATTGAGAAAGAGCCGGGTGTTAGGGCAGATTCTAGAACACTTGGGAGCAGTTGGGAAGTCACAGCACCAGCATTCTGTGCCCCCCCCCCCCCCCCCCCCCCCCGTCTTCTCTGGTGTACTCTCCACTTGGCTGCCTCAGAAACTGAGAATTCCTGGGTGGTAGCTTGTTTGTCCTAGTATTCTCTGCTAGAGAAGGACATGACATCTCCAAGTTCCTGTAGGGAATCTGGATCTTTTCCTTCAAAGCTATCTCCTGATGGCTACTACCAAGTCTAGCATCTTGAAGGTGTGTCTTAACCGACTTATATACATGGTACCATGCCAGCTTTATAGTTCTGTGCACCATCGTGCTGAATGGGAAGTCTAAAGCAGCTGAGAAAATGAAGACATCCGTAGGAAGGGAGACTCAGCAAACATACAATGTGATATCCAGCTTAACATTTGCACAGGACACCACCCTCCCCCGCGACCATGGCTGTAAGCTTATTTAGTTTGGAACATGGTTTATGACCTTAGCTTTCCACATCTGCAAAACGAAGATACTTGCCTATTAGGGTTACTGTGAGGATCTAATAAGATGAGAAAACACTTACTTAGCACAACATTAAGCATATGGTAGGAACTGAAGGGTCATTAAAAACTCTTAGACAGCCACTTAAAGACTCCGCAGGTGCCAATATGTGTTCCATGTCCTAGGAGAAGCAGTCAAAGGCCGAGGCAGACACAAACCAGCTATGAGTCTGAGTTTGACACCATATGGTCCTTTAAGGCTTTTCACCTGTCGGAGATGAAATCCTTCCTGAAACTCAGACTTCGGTATGATGGGGAAGAACTATTCCAGGTGAAAGGCTCTTGTTACTCCATGAGTGAAGCTGTCCGAAAGGCTCACTGGGTAAAGTCCCTTACCAGTTCTCAGGCTGTGGACCAACACATACTGACAGTGATAGTCTGGGTGTTTGCCAAAGGACACCAGATGCCAGGCATGATGCTGAGCTCTCAGGCTCCACTGCTGTATGCATCCCTTTGTCCCAGTGTGTCCCTGTCATTTCCATATCACAGAGATGCTTAGTGACTTGCCCAGGCCAGCACACCCAGGACAGAGAAGTGTGTGCTATTGACATAATGTGGAGAACCCTATACATAGCCACCCAGCTGCCATCTCACTTAGCACAGCCAAGAAAAAAGCTATTCTTGAGATATCCCAGAGCTCCTGTCAAGCCCACATCCCCCAGGCTCCCTGTCTCACTCTTGTCCCAGGGTTCACACACACACACATAGGGAGGCTGAAATGGCCTCGAGGTCTCTGGTCCCACTTCATTCCTGTTTCTCGGACGAACCAGGTTCAGAAACACAATTACAGACTGGAGTGACACCGTATGAGATGGCACACGTGATCACAAACCTCCATCCAGGACTCCTTACTAACTTACATTCAGCTTTTCATTGCTGAAGGTGGATGGGAGTGAGATTCATGCAGAAATGGTGGTTGTTATTCTTCCATGAAGCTCTTGTGAGCTGGAACCTCTGTGAACAAACAAGCAACAGCAGGAAACTACCCCAACAATGACCGCCCCATCTTCCAAGCCATCTCCTTTCTCCTTGAAATTGAGACACCTTTGCAGACCTTTCTCCATTTCAGGAATTTGCCCAGTTTAAGGATCTAGAATATGACTGATATAGGGGACACATTTTTTCAGTCTCCCCAAAGAGGGTGAAACACTGGCTTTAGAAACAAAAGGCTCAAAGTTCTGGATCAGGAGTAGCATTTTGTTCTGTTCTTGAACCTAAGGAAGCAAAAGGGTCTGTGATTTATTTTTTTTATAAATATGTTTGTTTTGCCACAAGTGAAAGAAAGAAGCATGACATTCATTTGGGCTTAAGGGGATATACTGTTCCAGTAGGAGAGACTTTGCTAGGTAAGCACGCTAGGAAATCAATTCTGTTCAACTACATGATACATGGGAAGCCCACCAGCATCTTTGGGTTGGGGTGAACTTAAAAGCTAGACAGTAGGCGGGTCTCAGCTTTCTGCAGTGTTCCCAGCTGAAAAGTGATTCCTTTAACTGTGCTATTTAAAACCTGCCCGCTCATTTCTTAAAAGGGATGTCTGGAACCAAGGTACGTGCCGTAGTTGAAGCCTCAAAGAATTATTTTTGCCCCTATTTATCCAGATCCAAAGGCTTAGATTTGATGCCAAATTTTCAAAGTAGCTGTTAGAATATCCTAAGGGAACTGCTAATCTTCTAGGTCTGCTTCTGCCCAAAAAGCATGTAGCTTGCAACAACCTCTTAAAATTTTGGACTCTGAGACTTGACTGGACTTTTTTTTAACTGGGGTCCACAAATCTGTTGATTTGTCTATCCTTTGCAGATATTCCTCAAGTCCCTTGGGGTTCCATTCACTGCAGCCTCATGTGACAGGCTGGTTTAATTATAAATATCCTTTCTAAGAATTTGATGTTTCAGATTTCACCTCTTAATTAATTATCCACTACATTAAACTCTAGAGGTGCAGCCAGCTGAGGTCAACCCAGCTCACATACAGTTGTTAAGATCTTGTTTGGGCGGTAAAGGTCGGGGTTCTCATCCCTTGTGAACTATTGTCCTCTGGCCCAATTAGCAGTCTTGCCAGATGACTAGCTACCCTAGCAATACTGAACAATGCTCTACCAATATTTAAGCACTTCATTTTTTAAAAATGAAATGCCTTTTAAAACACAGTGAGTTCTAGCTAATGTTGGGTTTATAAAAATGAAATGACCTTGTTTGTTTTAGATGCTTGTTCAGCCATTTCATCCCCAAGGAATCAGTGCCCTTTCTACAGTGCCCATCTCACAGTAGAGTTATCAAAGCATCTTGTCTGGGCTTTAAGCCACGCATCTTCTTACTTTTAGGCATCTGGAGACTTCAGAGTAAGGACATGATGGCAAACTCACAAAACTCCCCCCTTGACATGGTTCTACTTTCCCACCTCCAGCTCCTTATCTTCAAAGTTCCACAAATGCCCTATAGGAAGAACATCCCCATATGTGCGATGTCATAGGCTGACAACATAGTGTGGACTATGTTACAATTATATTCTCCATAAAGCCTCATTAGAATAGTTTTTATCCAACTTGCAGTTATATCAGAACTACATGAAGAGTTTGTGAAGACTCAGTTTCCTGGTCCCCGTTACTGGGGCTTTTGATTAAGTAGGTTTTGAGTGGGGCCCAAGAATATTCATTTCTGCTAAGTTCCTAGCAGCCACTATTGCTGTTCCCAGGGCATGCTGAGAACCACAACCTAGACTGTTCAACAACAACGTTGCCTAGCATCCTTCCTACCCATCTTCACAGTAGGACAAGTCAGACTCTTGTAAGAACAAATCCTTCCCTATGCCGTAGAAGGCACTTGTCTTTGACTGACCTACAAATTATGACAGAACATGAACAACAAAACATGAGAACTTGTGGAAATCTTAGCATATATTGCTAGATCAATGTGAAAAGGAGGGGGAAAAGGAATCTTCTGTGAGCAAAAGGAATTCTGGGAAGACAGTGTTTTTTAGGAAATAAATATGTTGGCTGGGTGTAGTGGTCCAAACATGAGACATGTAATATTAGAAGTTGGGAAGCTGAGGCAGGAGAATTACAGTCTTGAGTCCAGCAAAGAAGGAAGGAAGGAAGGAAGGAAGGAAGGAAGGAAGGGTGATAAATTTGGGGGAACAAATATCAAATGGTACCAATTTCTTTAGTTAGGACTTGGTTATAAAAGATACTAGCCCAGTTTTGGGTGTACAACACCCAGAGCTATAGCTTAGATATCTAGAACATTTGGTGATACACAGGCTGTTCCTAGACCATCTTAGAGGAATAATCAAAACCATGATTAAGCTGTGTGGTTTAATTTTTTTAGCACTTGAAAAAAATGTACAGTAGTTTGAAGTCAGTCTTTGCAAACCTCCACAGAGGTCAAAGATTTCATTCATACGTACAAAATTAGTTTACAAATTTTTTTTGGCAATTTCATCTTTGTAACCCGTTTTATCCTATTGCCATTGTCCCAACCATTGAAAAAGTTTACAATAATTTACATAGAAATATCTTCAAAGTGCTTAAGAATAGTGATTGTTCTCTGGGATATGTACAGGTGGCCTATACAATGTATGTACAGGTGGGCGTCGCTACCGCACAAGGTTCGTGGCTGGAATATGGCTTTCTCGAGAAAGTGCATACGTGGCCAGAGATGGCAATACTGTCTAGAGATTCAAGGGTTACACATACTTGGTAACCACATCCAAAGCTGAAGTAGTATGTGGCCAGGAATATTTACAAAAGTAATATAAAAATGACCAAGTACACAAACTTGATTCCCAGAAAGATATCTTGATGTTCTTCCGGATGGGAGGAAGAAAGGAGACTTCAGCGCTGGCTCGGTTACCGTTCTGGAGTGGGGTGTTATTGGTTTAGATCTCAGCGGTCAAGCCAGATCATCATCTGTGCTTACAACTGATATCTGCGGAGGAGAAAAAGGTTGAGGTGAGCTTGGCTTGGTGGTTACTCACTGTGAGCAGCTCTACGGAGTGGACTTTGAGCTGACCATTCACAGACCCAAAGAAATGGAGGCCAGACACATGAATTGGATTTCTGTTCCCAACCTGAAAATCTGGAACCCCAAAGGGCTCCTAAATCTGGAATTTTCTGAGTACCACCATGATACTCTAGAAAACTCCACCTCTTACCTTAATGGTACTGGTTGTGGTCAAAATGAACACACATTAAAATATTATGTAAAGCAACCTAGAATATGTGTATAAGAACACATGAAATGAATGGATTTTGTGTTCAGACTTTTTGTGTATGTAAAAATCTCCAAATTCCATGCTCCCTAAAAATAAATCCCCAACCCTGAACACTTCTGGCACCAAGTATTTCATATAAGGGCTACATAACCTATACCTGCTTGCTAGGAGAAGCAAACAAGCAAACTGTGCAAACCTTGGGAACAAATGTGAAAAGACACAGAATGTGAAATGAACACTGTTCCAAGTTCCACTGTGGAACTTGCAAGGGCAGTGTTCCCGTTCAGCATGTTTTATTCAGCATGGTCCTGAAGTGGAGGCTGGATATGTACTTGGGTTCCGTGGGGAGGAACACGTGATTGCAGTTGCTGCTCCCGTGGAAAGCTGGCTCTCCGGGGTGGGATGGAACAACTCTCTAAGGCATGCATTTTTAGTACTTTCGGCTAATTGAGTCTTACTCACGTTATTGACTTTCGGTCAACTCCCTATACACAATCCTCACATGCCCACACTGATTTATCTTTAGCTATCCACTAGGCAAGGAACTGAAGTTCAAAAACAAGCCAGTTGGTTCATACTGCTCTTTCCATGTCATTTTCGTAATCTAAAATAATGGCAAATAGGACTCACCTGCCTTCCTCTGTGGGCAAGATGCTTACCAACTGACTGTGTTAGCGGGCCAGACACCCAGCATCTAACACACTGCCAGTGGATAAAGGATCATCTGGGGATGCCATGATCCTTCTCAGCCCAGGTACTCATAGTGAGAGGTTCTGGTCTCCTTTGAAGAGACTCATGTCAAGACACAGTGATTACAGACAAAGCAGACTTACTGCTGGGTACGTGTGTCCAACAGAAGCACTGTGTCTACCAATGTCTATTGAGAGGTCCTCTTCAGTGGTCTTTAAGTACACAGGATTGTCAAAGTTCATGCTTTTCATGTTTTTATGTTGCCAATTCCGCCACATCAAGTAGCCCCCGACTGCTGCCATCACCAAGAGCACTGAAAAAAAAAATCAGAAGTCTAATAGTCATTGATCTATGGGAATTGACATTAATAAAAGTTCCATTTTCAGGAGCTTGGATAACTGGAAGTTGGAATACAGATGAGACAAAATTTTCAAATACGTTCAGCCCAGTGGTTCTGTGAATATTTTTTTTATTCCATACCCAGGCATATGCTGAGTCCCGAATCCCAAACCTCGGCCCAAACAAGGAAAATTATAGAACACTTTAAAGTGTTAGTCAAGTGGTCCTGGGAAACCAGTAAGCTAAGTCAAACAAAATGCCTTACAATTTACATGCCTGAAGGTGGCTTTAGAGGTCCTTTCCCCTGAGTTTAAAAATCTTTAATCACTATAAATTTATCCTTTATGGCTGGACAGTGGTGGTGCACGCCTTTAATCCCAGCACTCAGAGGCAGAGGCAGAGGCAGGTAAATCTCTGTGAATTCGAGGCCAGCCTGGTCTACAGAGCTAGTTCCAGGGCTACACAAAGAAACTTTGTCTTGAAAACACACATGTGTGCACGTGCGCGTGCACACACACACACACACACACACACACACACACCAACCAACAACCCCTCCAACTTACTTTTTTTTTTGAATTTTACATCTTTTTCAAAAATGCATCTGTCTCTTTGCTTTCCTGCTTCTGAATACAACTAATGGGGTTAGAAAAAACTCTTGCTAACGTGACTTGCTGTGTGCAGGGGTAAGCAAGGCTAGCAAGCTCAGCACAGGAAGCAGTAAGACCTCTGAGGCAACTGGTGAATATTCACGGAGTCCATTGCATGTGAAAGATACTGCCGAAGGGTGGGTACCAGTCAGATGAGGAAGTGAATGCAATTCACTGTCCCGTGTGTTATGACAGCATAAGAGGGCACAGGGAGGTGGCTGTAGAGGACCTAGAACTGTCTATCAGGTCTATAGAAGAAGCAAATTTACTTACAGAGAGGGAGGATGGCCCAGGCAGCTGAAGTTCCTTTCGGAGGAACACTGACCTCTGATACTGCTGTGGTCACGTTGATCTCTACAAGGACATACAAGGAATCAGTCTGTCAGGACTTGAATTAAGACTTAGAAATCTACCCCTTAGGTAGAGATCCTTATACCTTTGTAGCTAATATTGAGGTCTAGTATCCACTATAATTCCAAACCAGAAGAACTTGGGATTAGAATTATTTGAGTTACATGGCCATTTCACCAACAGGTTTAATTAAGTCAGAGAAATCCAGGATACACAGGTTCTGAAATCTTTGGACTTTAGGCACAAGTAGCCAGTTGGGGCAGAACCAGCAGTTAAATGTTGCATTAATTATTTAAGTGGCAGTTAGTTGAGATTAACAGTTTGCAGTACTGGATCCAATACCTCCAGGAACCAGTCCACTAGTACGCAGAATGTCTGTTGTGTTGATATCTTTTGTCTCACTGTAAGTCACAGGAGTTGAAGGACCTGGATTATAAAAATCAAGAACCTGGTTAAGGCTAAGGTTCCTGTGTGGCTGGCTGCATAGTCCAGACACATTGTGATGAAAGGTTATTTTAACTCCAGGTGAAAGAGACAACCCATTGCAGAACTCATCTGTGAAGTGGATGTATCTGCATGGAGAGAAATAGCCAGTTCCAAGCAAAACCCAGAGATGTATGAAACTTTGGGCAGAGCAATCAGCATGTGGAAGTTGACAACTCATAAAGATTCACAGCCATATGAAACACCTCTCAGCCAACCCCAGGCTCCTGAATGGCCACAGATATTCTCAAAAATGCTCTGGTGTGCTATGCAGATCCCGTGGGCTTGCACCTATTTTCTCAGCAAACTGAGTAGGTGCCCAGTATGGCGCAGAATGATGCTAAGAAATCACTATGTGAGCGCCTTGTTTGCAATCAGCTCGCTGATTAATCAGAAGCTGAGAACAAAATATTAAAATTCAAGCTCAGACTATCTGAGAGCTTAAATTTATGTCATCAACTGAGGTCAGTAAGTATCCTGCAACTGTGGCCTCCTTCCTCAAATGTCTTCATTGCATTCATTCTGCCCTCTGTGGAGGACTTTACCTGAAAACTGACTAGCTCAGGTTACAGAGCGACGGGTACAAACTAGTTAGTGTGTGGCACATTGACACCAGTCACTGACAAACTCATCTGATGTTGAAATGTCAGCTCAAAGTACTGATAGTGAATGCCTGCCACACAACAATAACACCTAGTATTCTGTAATCTATTTCAAAAGTTAGCTACAGGCTGGGCGGTGGTGGTGCACGCCTTTAATCCCAGCACTCGGGAGGCAGAGGTAGGCGGATCTCTGGGAGTTCGAGGTCAGCCTGGTCTACAAGAGCTAGTTCCAGGACAGGCACCAAAGCTACAGAGAAACCCTGTCTCAAAAAGCCAAAAAAAAAAAAAAGTTAGCTACACCTGAATTTCTCAAATGCCGACAAATTGTCGTAGCTGGTGGCTTATAGTGTTTGTTTTATGTCTTGGTTGTAGTTGAAACGCAGAAAGCCTTACTTTGGCACTCTCGTCCGTTTTCCCCGAGACTGTACCCATTGGGACAGGAACAGGTATATTTCGGAGAGTGGTCACTGATCTGTGGTGCTGGCAGGCAGAGGTATTCGCATCCTCCATTCTCTGTATCTTCTTCACACCAGTTTTTACCTAGTCAGGAAGGAGAAAGGTTCTTGAAAATAGGCATTGCGGTATTAACCGTCTACACTCCCATGGAGCTAAATTTGCCTATTCTGTTAGTCCCTCAAGTGAGAGCAACATCGGTGAAGAATGTGTATCACTGATGTTGAATGAGTGTCAATCATTGTACTGGAAGCACCCTCTGAAGATACCAGAGTCAGAGGTTTCTTGGAAGTGAAGTAAGACTTGTATCTTCCATAGGTCGGTGTGAAAGGAGGTGAGGAATCAGAAGGAGGGAGGCTAGTCACATTTTCCTGGCTTTATACTGACTAACTCCTACAAAGTGAAAGGGAACTCAGCCACAGGGAGGTGCGAGGTTCTCGTTAGATGGATGAGCCAGTGTCCTGGGCAAGAGAAAAGATGACTAGATATGTCTGATGATTTGTTGAATCCTGTATAAGATGTGTCATGGAGGAGAATAGCTATGATAGGTTATGTCTCTCTATAAAATTTTCACACTGAATTCCTAACTGCTAATTCTTAGAAAGCGCTCTTATTTGCAGATATGGTATTGACAGAGGTAATCAAGTTAGGTGAGGTCGTTAGGGTAGGTCTTAACCCCAAGTGTCAAGTGTCCTCAGAAGATGAAGTATGGGCACAAGCATGTATCAAAAAAAGGTGTGACTAGACACAGGGAAATGGCCATCTATAAGCCAAGAAGAGAGGTCTGGCATAGAGCCTTCCCTCAAGTCCCCAACAGGAACCAACTTACCAACACCTTGACTTTGGACTTTTAGTTTCCAGAATTGTGATAGGTATAAGTTTCTGTTGTTTAAGGCACTTGATTTGCGGTGCTTTGCTACCTAGAAAACTATCCCTAAGATGTAGCTATGGCTTGAAAGCCACTGAAGAAGCTGCTGCCTTAGGCTTAGCAAGGGGAACCCAGAAGAAATCAAAATGAAAGCTGTTGACAGTGAGGACTGAAAAGAGCTAAGAGCTGACTCTGAAGCCATTTCTCCAAGATGGCTGGAACGAGATATCAGACATCAAGTGCAGAGTTTGGTCAGGACTCACGAGGACAAAGGCTCCATTTTAAAGGAAGTTGAGTAGCTAAGGAGCTAGTAGGTAGTAGGTTCTAGATCATACTACTCCTTTGGTGTGGTCCTTAAGGAGTGGGTTTGTTCATGTTACCTGCTGGCTGAACAAGTTCATGGTAGACAATGATGTCTTGGGCATCATTGAGGTTGTTGACTAGGGTAGCCAGCTCTGACCCAGTGAATTTATTGGCACCGTACACTGCTTCATTTTCTCCATCTATCCAGTAGACACGATCCTAAAACAGAACCCCAACAATTAGCATGTACATCCAATATTGACACAAATCAAGTTCTAATATGTTTTACTCATCATTTAATGGGATGAGGTTATTGAATGATTCTCCAGGATATTGAGTACGAAGGGTATGCGAAGCAAGTTCAGGTTTCATAAAGTTCTTTGAGGGCTTAGTATCTAATGTGTACCAGTCTTTAGGTAGAAAATTTTCAGTTGTCTACTGTTCCTTCCTCTTCCCACACACCTGTTCTAAAAGTGTTTGCTTCCATGTTAGGCACATGTCTTACCTCAAATATGGTGAGCGCAAGAGGATGAGCTAGGAACTCCAGAGACTTGAGCACTATCCTACGATCTTGGCCATCCAAGTCCACACTAGACAGCATATGCAACTTGGAATCGAGCCAGTAGAGGCGACTTTTGACAAGGTCTAGCAGGAAAACAATTGACATGGTATGAGCTGTGGTGGCGCATGCCTTTAATCCCAGTGCTTGGGAGGCAGAGGCAGGCAGATCTCTATGAGTTCGAGGCCAGCCTGGTCTACAAGAGCTATCTCCAGGATAGGCTCCAAAGCTACAGAGAAACCATGTCTCGAAAAACAAACAAACAAAATCCAAAGAATCTATTCTGTTTTGTGTTTTTTTTTTCTTCATCAGAAGCTTTTAATGGGGACACCATAATACTTGTGAAGCCAGCAATAGAACCTGTAACTGTATTCCCTCTACAGGGGCCAATGGGATTTCTAAGACTCTCAAAGTCATTGACACAAGATACGTTATAGAAAGTGTTTTTGAAAAAAGGCTCTGTATTTGCACTTCTTCCCAGATAACTCAGAAGGAAATGGTTACAAGTTATTACCCAGAAAAGGCAAAGGCACCCATGCCTGTTGTGTTCCATATGAAAAACCCCAAAGATCCAAGATTCACTGAGTTGCCATTGCATATTAGACCAACTAGGTGACAAGCCAGCCATTCTGGCACCCGTAATTTGTGAAGTCCACCATGTTTTCTCAGCCTTTCTCTCTGGCCATGGATAGAACTAGAAGTATCGCCTCAAACTTAGAGTGGACATCCGTTTAAACTCAATGAAGGGAGTTAGCTAGTGAGGGAGGAGGAAGGTCATACGTACCGAGTGTAATTCCATTAGGCCATTGGATGTCCTCAGTCACAAGTGGACGCCTATCAAAGCCATTCATCCCCGCTTTTTCTATTTTAGCTGGTTCGCCCCAGTCAGACCAGTAAACAAAGCTGGGAAGAGTTAAATCAGAAACGTGCCTTAGTGACTGAGAAGAAAGCTGTGGCTTAAATCCAAAACTTAAAGAGAGCACAGAAAACTCTTGAACTTGAGGCTCTCAAGATAAATGCTGGTGCTTGAGGCTCTAATTCTGTTCTGAGTATATGGAACTGAACGGTGAGGATGCACAAGGATTGGAGCTGTAGCTCAGTGAAAGAATACTTGCCTTACCCTGTGTGAGGCTCAGGTCTACTCCTCAGGACTCCAGGAGACAATAATATCATCTCCAAGTTATAACTGTGTTAGTCTGTTTTGAGCTGATGTATAAGTCTCAGCCCAAAGTACCAAGACTGGATATTCCTTTCTAAAGGCACATTTATTTGGATCCATGAAGGAAGTATTTTCCGTAAGCTCTAAAAGAGGAGCTTGGTGATGATGCTCTAATGATATTTCACAGGGATAGTTGTGATGACTACAGTTGACTTTTTCGAAGCTGCCTGCCCCAGGGAAATTTTTGACAAAAGTCTGGTCCTTTCAGTTGAACTTTCACACAATTTGCATGCAGTTTTAGATGGAATCTTGAGGGAAGAGTGTTATGCCAACACCAGTATTTTCCTTGAGCCCGAGATCTGATTACCCAGACCTAACCAACCCAGCAAACTGTTCTCTCTCTCTCTCTCTCTCTCTCTCTCTCTCTCCCTCCCTCCATCCCTCCCTCCCCCCCCCTCACATACACACACACATTTGTGCAGAAGCTGGATGGGCAAAGAATTTGGACATCACTTTTTGCTGTATGTCATACATGAATCAAAAGTATCACTAGTGTTGACTGCAGCTGGACAATCAGGAGATTGGGAGGCACATCATAAACACGGGCTGCCCCAGGACTGCTCTGTATTTGGTCACTCACAACATTTTTCTTTTTATTAGTATACATTATGTATTGTGATTGGATTCAAGAAGGTATTTTCATTCAAGTTCATCATGTATACAATGAAGTTTTATTTAGTCGTAAAGAAGAAGGAAATTATGTTATTTTCAGGAAAATGGAGGCAACTGGAGGTGATCATATTAGGTATAGTAAGATTCCAACAACAAATATCACATTTTTTTTCCTACTTGTAGATCCTAGATTTTATAGAGGTAATAAATTGTTTATTTGTGTGTGTGTGTGTGTGTATGTGTGTGTGTGTGTGTGTGAGAGAGAGAGAGAGAGAGAGAGAGAGAGAAAGAGAGAGAGAGAGAGAGAATGGAGACAAGAGATAAGAGAAAAAAGGGAATTAGCTGTTGGAATTAAGGGAAAAGTGGGAGGGGCTGAACAACGAATACTGGCATTGATGTCTTGAACCAGATAATTCTGTTCCTGGGCACTCTTAGGATGCTAGAAAAGCGTAGCACTCAAAAGGTTAAGCGAAGGAAAACATAGAATACGAACCCAGACAATGGGTCCACAGCTATGGAGGCAGGCTCTCGCAAGTCAGTGTTAAACAGGAACTTCCTCTTGGCTCCGTCTAGGGTAGCTACGGAAATAGTCTTAGAAGCCGCATCAGTCCAGTAGATGGTCTTGTACACCCAATCAACAGCAATGGCTGCAGGATTATAGACATTGTCGATCATTTTAAAATGTCTACCAACCTTGTCATCAATTGAGGCACTGAAACAGAATAGGTCACAAGAAATTTAAAAGTTGTCACCATTGGACCCTGAAGATTGGACTTTCTGCTTATAAAATGGTCTAGGCCTTTACTCGGGGAGACTCTAGGAACCCCATAGCTCACCGCCGAAGTTATTCAGCCATGTTGCTTGGGGATGGAAAATTGTAGCCTATCTAGTTGTGGCGATGTATTCTAGGTGCAAGCCCAGCAAAATTGGAAGAAAACCATTTGATTCACCAGCCATCACCCCAGCTCTACAGTTTCCAGTGAGCAAAAGCTACTACCATCTTTTCTATTTGTAGCAAGAGAAGACAGTTCACAACTATAGGTGGAGAAAATATGAGGAATTCAGATCCTTTTCCTTCATGGCCAATGATTCATCCCTAAATAACTGTTTATGGTAACTTAATAACAATGTGGGGTTTATAATCCCAACTAACTAGATGGTAGACGGGAGCTAGAGACAGGAGAAGCCCCACCCCCTACCCCAATCCTTTCCACAGGCCCAAAGACAGAGACTTAGGTGTCCAGATGTCAGGAATGCAAGTGAAAGTTACCTGAAGATAGCCTTTTGGCTGAGATCAGCCCAAAATAGCTTCTGAGCTGCAATGTCAGCATCGAGAGCCACTGTGTTTCTTAGTTGTTCTACAAGCTGGATGTATTCCTTCCTCTCTAGGCCAATCTTCCTGATGTCTCTCCGATTAGTGAAGATCAGACTTGGCTCTTTGCCTATAAGACATAAGCCAGGTTGATTTAATTTTGCTGTAAAGCAAGATCTCCTAAGTCATCTCTCCACAGAGGACCATGTCTGAAGATCCTGCTGAGCATCTCATTTATCCTCAGCCTGGAGTTCAAGCCCCCTGGAGCTGTAAGTACTTATGTCTTATTTAGGAAGGCAGTCCTGGGGTTATAGCATCCAGCAGTCGGGTGGCTGATAAGCGAGCCATTTGCCTACAATATGCAGTTTCAGAAGCAGAAAGGAAGCAAATATGGCAACTAGTCCTAGTATCCTGTGCAAAAGGAAAGACCAAGGCCCATGCACGTGAAGGTGAGCCTGCTGCACACGGAGTTTGGTAGCACTAATCTGGGGTATGACTTTAGGTGTAGGTTGACTGTCCCAGTCACCGGACGTCCCTTGTGGAATCACTAACTCATAACCATCCCAGAGCAACACCAGCCTGCGTCCATTTACCTACTGCCTTGCACACACCAGTGGCAAGATCCATTTGATAGCCACGACTACATTCACACTTGTAGCCACCTTTTAAGTTGATACAAATTTGGCTGCAGATCCCTGGATTTTGGCATTCGTCGATATCTAGGAGGGAAATCAGAATTAGCCTTGCTGTTCTGGGGCCTCACCCGGTGCCTGTTGCCCTTTCCCATGTCCTCTGGGGCCAGACTGTTGGCTTCAACTCACCTCCACAGGTTTTCCTATCTATCAGTTCAAACCCAGCGGCACAGTCACATTCATAGCCTATGACTAGGTCTTTGCAGATATGAGAGCAGCCACCGTTATTGACCAAGCATTCATTGACATCTGGAATAAAAGGGGAGCAAAAGTCACCTGGAAGCTAATTCTTTGTTTTTAATATAATATTTTAGATTTATGGAAGTCTTTGAGACTTCCACATACAGAGACAATGCATTTTGATCATATCTCTCATCCCATACGCCATCCAACGCTCTAAGATGCTGCACAAACATCTTCCTCCCAGTTTCAATTGCTTGTTTTCTTTTCCGTTTTATAACCCAGAGTCCAAATTAGAATGGCGTCTTATTCTTAGCTGATATTCATCTTATTCACTTGTAAACTCAGACCACTGCTGATGACCTTGCTAAGATCTGAGTATTTGCTTCATAGATAAACATTTCAGGTCGGATGGTAGGCTACCAGCTAGTTATGCAGGATTTACCTAGTTTGCTATTATTTTTAGTCATCTTTCTAAACTCCAAATCAGTTTGTCATTGGCTAGAATCCCATATCATAACACTTTATTGTCAAGCTTACATGAAATTTTAGTTCATTCTGAGTTCAATGGGGCATCCAGCAGGGTCTAAACAGCATTAGTTCTGACAGACTGAACGGAATGCCCCAGCTCTGGCCTCAGGCAAGCCCCTCACTTACTGCACTCCTTCAGGGGTTCATCGCTCCAGTCCCTGCAGTCCTGCTCCTGGTCACACACTTTGCTGATGTCTATGCATTCGCCACTTCTGCACTTGAACTTTCCAGGGCCCAAGCACTGATTGACTATAAGGCCAAACACAGGAGAGAAGTTCCATGGTTGGGCTGACCAGGGCACCAATGGTTCTACCTGAACGCCATGCAGAGAACCTCACCGTTTTTGCAGTTGACTTCATCAGAGCCATCCACACAGTCCCGGATGCCATTGCACTGCCTGCTGCCATGGATACAGCTACCATCTTCACATTCAAATTGGTCAGGTCTGCAGGTTCGAGAAGCTATGGAAGGAGGTAAGGCGATGGAATGAAGCCAGCCAAAATGGTCCCCCGGTCAGTACACGGAAGAGAACTGGAAGGTTACTTACGGCAGTTGACCTCGTCACTGCCGTCCTTGCAGTCGGGATCTCCGTCACACCGCCACTTTTTGTGAATGCATTCACCAGAGCCACACTGGATCTCACTGGCAGGACATCTCGCATGCATGGCGGGCTGCCGGCCGCACTGTTCGAGAGACTCGTCTGACTGGTCGGAGCAGTCCGCGTCATCATCGCACACCCAGCTGAGGGGGATGCAGGAAGAGGTGCTGCACTGGAACTCGTGGGCCCCACAGGTCGGCGGTGCGCAGTCCAGTTCATCACTGCCGTCGTCGCAGTCATCCTGGCCATTGCACACAAAGTTCCTGGAGACGCAGCGGCCGCTGGAGCAAGTGAACTCATCAGCGCTACAGGTTATGTTGCCTGTTAGAGGGAAGACGTCCCATTGAAAGTGCATCAGCATCCTTGTTTTAATACGAGACTCTCATCACCACATCCAATGATATATTGATATTTGATGATGAATTTTAGCTCTCTAACTTGAAGGCTATAGTGCTGTTCTATTGAGAACGAGTTTCTGAGAGACGACAAAACGGTTTCACAGTATAAAAATAAGATGCAGCCATACTATGTATAACAGCAGAAATAAAGGACCGAGAAAACAATAGAAGGCTAGAAACTAATTTAAGATGAGAACCACAACTGACACTTAAAGGGACAGTGATCAATAGCATAAGCTGACATCAGGGACTTCATTTTGGAAGGCAGAGTCATACCTAGACCAACCTACTGTATGCCAGCCCAAATCACATCACTGGCTGAGACGATGCATCAGCCATATATGGGCAAGGTATAATGGGTATTCAGGCTCTATCCAAAAAGAAACAAACCAAAGAACGTTCTACATGGTTCCTTTCTTTTGGATGCTTTAAATAAATATTAGGAATAGCATCTTAATAATTTTCAGGGTTTTTTTTTTTTTTTTGTCACTGCTAGGATCAGAATCACAGCCTAGCCACTCTGCATGCTAGTGATGACAAGGTAGTCACAGTCACCAGTTTAGGTTTCGACTTCAGTTCCTACCAAACATACCGAGGTCACAATTTGACGGTAATTGGTAAAAGGAGACCACGACTCTCTTGGGAAGCAAAGTGTATATTTGCGAGGGAAATGTTTGGCAGCTCCGGGGCTTGCCACAGCAATGTTTGAAGCTCGATTCTATGACTGAATACGAAACTCATTGGACTAGGTGCAGTGGTATTGCCCCCACAAAGAGACTTGTATAAGCCAGACTAGTGTTTCACCTTCAAGGACCCTGAGCTCCAGACTAGTGTTTTACCTGCCAAGACCCTGAGCCCCAGACTAGTGTTTTACCTACCAGGACCCTGGACTCCCTTGGCTACTACTACAGCCTGAAGTTAAGCTCATGAGACTCAGGCTGACAAGCACTATAAAGGGGTGGTAGACTGCAAGACCACTCACAACTGTTTTCAGCCTAGAGATTGTCCCCAGGGCCTCGCCTCTAACACGGAACACTTCATTCTAGACACGCTGAGAACAGAAGCGTGAAAGAATAGGAAACAGTGCTAGCATTTAGAGACAGGAATCTTCATAGGACACAAAAGTTGGGCAGACTTTACGTATCTGCTCGCAACATGTTAGGTCATGCTTTTCTGCTAAGGTAAGCATAGAGTCTAGTTGGTGGAAATGCTTACATCACACTCACGTAACTTCTCCCAGGAAGCTAATCTAACGAACCCTAGGAATGTGTCTGCTGGCCCCACCACTTCCTAGTTTTAATTGAGCCAATGTAAGGAAGGCCCATAAGTAGTTACTGTCATAAAAGAAAAAGACCCACATAGCCGCTGCCTTACTAAGCCATACTAAATGCACTAGGCTGAATGTAAGCACCAAGATGACTTCTCTGCTTGCTTCAATCTGCCTGGTTCATATACCAGGCAGTGGTCAATTACCAGGAAAAGGCCTTGCACAGTTTTATGGTGCTTAGGAGGACCAACACTGAGCAGACAGCAAAGCCACTGAAAAGCGACTCAGTGGCACCGTGTCTTTGGGCTTATGTTAGCATCCCTTGCCCGCCTTTCTTTAGGACAAGGGTCTTTGGGGTATGCCACGGCACACTGGTCTTCTTACCACAGTTTTCTTCATCTTCGCCATTGTCACAATCATTTTCCCCATCGCATCGCCAGGACACTGGGATACACTGAGTGGACCGGGCGCCACAGCTGATCTCATTTATGCGGCATGTTCTCATATCTGTTGATGACATACAGTCTCAAAAGAGCCTCCAAAGTGGTCAGTGCAAAGCTGCTGCTCCCGTGCTGCCTGGAATTGCAACACCTGGGACTCAGTGGGCAGGTACACGGGGCACACTGACGGGTGGAAGCCGGGCAGATCCTTCGCCAGCTCCGTCCTTAGAAGCTCTGCCAAGCAAGGCCACCTGGCAGCATCCCCAAGAACCTTGACCATGCCACTCCTTCAAGGTTCTGCGGCATGCTCAGTTCTGGCTTTTGTTTTCCTTGGCACCGTTAAGTTGATTTGTTGGCCTGCTCCTAGTCTATTACCTGTGTTTGGATATCAGTGGGCACACCAGATATGGTCACCTAATCCTGAGTCTATTAAAGGTCAGATGGGCGAATCCCTGTGAGAGCGTCCATGGAATAGTAGCCTTCCTCGGCCTCTATTCGCATCTTTCTTTATACACATAAAGTGAGAACATGGCCTGAGTCTTGATTTGACCATGTCATTAACCCCCGAAACATGGGACTGAATCCATGTAGATCAGTCTAGGACCCTCGGGTTTCTAACTCGCCAACAAAATTGTTCACTTCTTGACTAGAAAATGAAGTTCCACCTCGGTTATTTTCATAATCATATTCTTAACCTAAACTTGGTTCCTGTCAATCCTATTTCTTCTGTGTCATCAGGCCTCTACTGCCATGAATCTTCAGGCCTTTCAGCATCTTAGCATCCAAATGATCCCGGTTTACTTGATTTCAACACACCGTTCTCTTTGATTTTGGGACTTTCCCCTACATATCAGCCTATGGGCAAAGAGACATATTTGCACCTTTATGAAGTTTTTCCTATTCACTAACAAACTGTATGGTCCCTGCATTAGGTTATACATTTGTTAAAATCCCCAGATTACCCTATTACTAATCGCCTTGCTGTCTTAATAATAGTATGTTTTAATAATACGAAAATCCGTGCATTTCAAAGCTTACATGTGGCCCTTAGAAAATCTTCCTATCTGAACTTCCAGGATCAGGGAACCATCTGCTCAGTTACTGTCAAACAGCTGAAGTCTATGCACCTAGTCAAGGAGTTCTTAATTGAATCTGCTGGCTTCAGTCTTAAGTATTCAAAGGCGAAGCTACCCAAGAGAATGTCAGTCTTGTTAGACTAGGGAGAGCAGTCTTTAAAGGAGATGGAATAACTGTTAATAGCTCGAATGACCTTCAAGTCAGTTGGCCTCAAGTTCAAGGCAGGCAAAGAAAAATGAATGCCAAGCAATCGATAAAGCATCACTTAGAATGGAGACAGAACAGCACGAAAGAGGACCGGTCCAAAGCAAGTCAAGGCACACTCACGGCACTGTTCCGGGCTCTCATCAGAACCGTCTTCACAATCAGGGTCCCCATCGCACTGCCATCTGTTAGGAACACACTGGCCGTTTTTGCACACGAAGTCAGACTCGGCACACGTCTTCTTTACTACAGGAGTTTATTCTCAGGGTTAGAATTGAAGTCAATTACCCCAGACCTCAGCTTTCCTATTCAGGTAGAAACTATATTGGGGTATGTTTTCTTTTAAAAGGAATGCTGCACCGATTGACTGACATTTATCTGTCAGCATTTAGGGAATAGAAAACTCATCTTTTTCCTCATAGGCTTCAGAGGAGGGAGTTATTCTTTGGAGAGACTTGGAGAACAATAAAGTCAAGGGAAGGCAAAGGCTGAATCCAAGTAGATCCTGTCTATTGACCTGGGGGCATCTTAAAAAGAAGTTGGTTTACAGTGTTTAAAGCCAATGAATTTCTTCCAACTCATTCACAAACCCTGAGGTGTTCTTCTCCAAGGCCATTTTCTGTCCCTAAAATGGAACTCTCGAGAGTGGGTTAAGGGAGAGAAACTTATTTTAGCTCAGAGTTGTGAATGCTGGGAATCCTAAGTGCACACCCCAGCACCTGCTTAGCTTTGGGTGAGGACTTTGAGCCTTGCTTCTTAACCCACTCACTTAGTAATTCATCCAGCCCAGGGAGAAAGGATTTATTCCCTCTCACAGACCTCATCACTTCGTAAATGCCCTGCCACCTCTCAACATACTATTCAAAATCACACTGCAGCGTGAGCTCTAGGGGCGACACACCAAAGAAAAGTCATTTTAACAACCAAACACTGCATCCTGTGACTGGCCCTTGGGATAACTATATCCTGTGGAGTAAATATGTGTGTCTTCATAAATGTCATGCCCTGAACAGCGCTCTTCTAGGAAGGAGGACTTGAGGGGGGTGATTAGGTCATGAGGATGTATGGACCTTCACACGTGGGACTGGAGCCCTCATTAGAACCATTAGTGCTTGTTTGTGCCCCCCCCCCTCCTTTATCACGGGAGAACACACTAAGAAAACAGTCATTGCCAGGTGGTGGTGCATGTCTTTAATCCCAGCACTTGGGTGGCAAAGGAAGCCAGATCTCAGTGAGTTCGAGGTCAGCCTGGTCTACAAAAAGAGTTCCAAGACAGCCAGGACTGTTACACAGAGAAACCCTGTCTCAAAAAACCAAAGTAAGGAAAGGGGGGAGGGGAGGGAAGGGAAGAGCCATCTGCAATTCAGAATGAGGACTTTCATCTGACACTGGATCTGCTGCTTCTTAGTTTGGGGATTTCCTAATACCCAGAACCCCCAAATCAGGTTTTTATCATTTAAGCCTCGCTACCTATGGTATTTTTGTCACAGCAGTGTAAAGTAAGCCTGCTGCAGGAACACTCTTCACAGCACATGCACTTAGCGTAGAGGATATGCTGATACTTCCTCACTGAATACTGCCACTCTAACGGGTCTACTGGGGCAGAGAAACCCATCCACTAGACAAACGTAAAGCTAATTATAACACTTAAAACAAGTGGTAGGACTTGGAATTCAAAGAGATTTGAGGCCTTCAGCCAATGCTTGGTTTAACACCAACCAACCCAAAGTCACTGAAGCTACCGGTCCTAAGTTCCATAATTCACAGCGCCCATTCAAACAGCCTAAGGCAAAAAATACCAATTCTATTACTAATTCTTCCTAGGGCAGACTTAGAGTCAGAATATAATGTGTCATTCATTAATTAGACCAGGACAGTAAAGACAAACAAATCAGGTAGCTTGGCTACCATGCCTGTGAAGGAGTCCTAGAATCTGGAACTCATGCCAGGGAAGACACACCCACAGCCCGTGATTGTCTGTTTAGACTAGGTTCTTCCACACCTCTATGCCTATACTTTCTGCTTAGACTTTTGTTCTAAAGCATCCCTCTAATCAATATTGTGTTTGTAAATCAGCCAAAGCCTGCAGTGTGTTGTAAATTTAAAAGAGATCCCCTGGCATGAGGGGTTTAAGCGAGGTAGGGAGGCTTGGAGGCTAGGGCTTACTCTTTAAGCCCCCTCTCATTCCGCCTTTAAACTTGGGAGATAGTCAGTTTGCAACATTCATCATGGGCTGATAAATTATGATGATCCCTAAGGGATTATTCATATCCTTGAACTACATAGCTAAGGAACCAAGGAAAGCAATGCCAGCTCATAAATTTACTCCTGTTTCTAAATCACCATCACACAGCATTAACACGGCAAATGCTACACAAGGCTGGTGATCTCCTGGGCCCATATGGAAACAGAGGCCAGGCTAAGGGGCTTGTTGCTGTAATTCACCCTGCGCTCACCTCTGTAAGTGGCGAATGAGAGAACAGGGGAATGGCCGTAAAGAGAGCAGATGGCTTTGCCAAGTGGAAAATGTCATGACGTTATGAAAGATCAGCTATGCAACAGACAGTTTGAGCAAAGATAAGTAGGGGCGTATCTTCCCAGAGATCGTCTTTCTCGGTTCTGAGCATACACTATAAGGGCAAAGGAAGGATATCTGAATCACACACTGGCATGCAGATAGAAGGTGTTCCACGGGGGAGGAAAGCCATCAGATACTTACTTTGGGAACTCACAGAAACAAGTGACATGGAATCTGCACTCAAATTGACTGTACCCGTTGTCAAGCTCAAAAGTGAGCCCTCCCCAAAATTACAACTAAGTATGGGTTAAAGGTCAGATGGGGAAGTCGGAAGGAGGCTTTGGAAGTTCTAAGTAAATACATAGCTTTTCCATTTCAAACATGCATCTAAGACCGCTTTGGGTATGCTTGCACTTTCCCTGTTTACCTCCATACCTGGGACTCAGCAACGAACCTGCCCATGGATGTGTGTAATTTATCCCAGCTCACATGATCCTGATTCACTTTGCTGTTCATCTTTCTCTTCCCCTCTCCCAAGCCCTTCTCCCACGGGGCTGGTAAAGAGAATCTATGCAGAGAGGACTTAAGAAAATCCAGTCATTGTTCCTAAGATGTCCCAGGTGTCTCTGTTGAGTTAGATGATAAGACCTTCTATAACAGGAAGTATAAAAACACGTGGGGGATAGTTTCTGCCCAATGCATGATTTCTCGGAAGCCTTGCCACTTGCAACCAGAGAATGGCTGAAAAGAGGTCCTCCTAGTGAGATATGGATTGAGAAAACCATATTCCCTAGGCAACGTAGAAATAGGGAAATCGGTGTTCTGTGGAGCAGTCTGAAATCTTTACATTAAAAGCACACGAGGAAAAGGAGAGTACAGGAGAACTATTCTTCATAAGCTTTTTTTTCAGAATGGGCTTTCAGAGCCGCCACTGTCACTGGGGTATTGCTGCCGAGGATGCTGTCTGCAGCATTTTAATGGTGATAAACAAAGGAGCAGGTAGTGGCATAATGAACTTGGCAGTCTCTGAAACCCCACACGGCCTTGATTTTGTTTTCTTTCCAAGTTCTGGGATAGGCATGTGCCTCCACACCCAGTATCGTATGGATCATCTTTCTCAAGGCAAATGACAGTGGTCACGCTAATCTTCCCACTCAACACTGCTCTGGGATTTTTATAATGGAGACCAGAGGGATGAAAAGGTAAACCTCAGCAAGAATTCCAGGTCTGTGTGACCTTGACATGTGGTTCTCTGCTGTTCTTTGCGACATGAGGTTATGGAGCTTTTCACACAGGCATTTCGAGTAATGACCTTTGGATCATTTCTGATCAAGGCTATGCTGTTATAGTCACATTCCTTAGGGAAGAGAATGTCTTCTATCCTGCCTAATGCTTTCCAGTAAGCAAGCATTGCGAGCAGAGAATTAGAAGACTCCTTATCTGATCTTTGATGTGTGCCGGCTTGTCCTTTCTATGCCAGAGTTAGTTAACTAACTAAACTTTACAGGATTTTGTTCTGTCCATAGCTTGCTATCATCTTGAATCAGAGCCATTTGTGAATTTAAAGATTTATTTATTTTTTTTGAGACCCACATTGGAGCACCGGACAGAAATCTCAAGGTCCAAATCAGGAGCAGAAGGAGACGGAGCACGAGCAAGGAACTCAGGACCACGAGGGGTGCACCCACACACTGAGACAATGGGGATGTTCTATCGGGAACTCACCAAGGCCAGCTGGCCTGGGTCTGAAAAAGCATGGGATAAATCCAGACTAGCTGAACATAGTGGACAATGAGGAATACTGAGAACTCAAGAACAGTGGTAGTGGGTTTTTGATCCTACTGCACGTACTGGCTTTGTGGGAGCCTAGGCAGTTTGGATGCTCACCTTACTAGACCTGGATAGAGGTGGGCGGTCCTTGGGCTTCCCACAGGTCAGGGAACCCTGATTGCTTTTCGAGCAGATGAGGGAGGGGGACTTCATCAGGGGAGGGGGAGGGAAATGGGAGGCGGTGGTGGGAAGGAGGCAGAAATCCTTAATAAATAAATAAATTTAAAAAAAAAGATTTATTTATTTTGTTTATGTGTACATGTGTGTGTCTGCATAGTTGCATGCCGTGTGTGTGTGTGTGTGTGTGTGTGTGTGTGTGTGTGCAGGGGATTCTCATGAATGTCAGGTAAGGGCATCGGATACCTAGAGCTAGGGTTACCGGCAGTTGTGAGCTGCCCAGTATGGGTGGTAGGAGTTGAACTCAGGCCCTCTGGAAAAGCTAACCACTAAGACATTTCTCCATATATCCCCCTGCTCCAGTTTATAAATGTATAAAGTTACTTTTAAGCAATCTTTTTTCTGCTTCTACGCCGGGTCATTTCTTTCCTTTCTCAGCTTCCTATAGAGCACATGTTTGTCTGACGTGAGATAAATCAGGTCTTATCATGTGAAGGAAATTCCACATTCAAGTTGATTACTGTTCGGCTGGAAATTTCGCCACAATACTCTGTCTCAGCCCCCTCCTCCCTCTCTGAATCCTGTCCCCTCAGAGAGACAGCCAGACGTCCAGGCTCCTCTTCCCAAGCTCAAGACAAGGCTTACATAGAAGCCCCTAAACCAGCCACACGAATTCTCTGCTGCTCCCTTTCAGAGAATCACCCAGGAGTGCTTTGCTTAGGTTAAACGTGGTCCTTTATTTTAATTCGGCTAAATTTGGCTTACTGCATTGGAGAAGAGACTTAATATCAGGGTAAGAAAACCTTTCAATGACCTCATGTCAAATTTGCAATTATATGCCTCCCGATCAGTATAGATTCACTGGACTCTAATTCACGGTCATACCTTAAAGTGGATTTTATTTACACAATCTCAATACATTTGTAGAAACTAAAGAACATTGGCGCGTTTCAATAAAACGCAGGAGTAACAACCGAGAAACTTGCTTGGGAACAAGTGACACTTACCGCAGTTCTTTTCGTCACTGCCATCAACACAGTCTTCATCGCCGTCGCATTTCCACAGCAGTGTGATGCAGCGACCATTTGTGCACTGGAATTGGGAATTATCGCATTTCCCTTTTTTCCCTAGGATGAGGAAGGAACATTGAGAAATGCATGCATAGAAGGTAAGTTAGAGATTTAAGTCCCCCGAAGCCCATGGATAGAGACAGCTTCAGACTCAGCATGCTGTAACATCCTATGGGTCAGGCTTGGATGGGTTGTGGGGCAGTGAACTGTAGTATTTGCCATGCTTATGACCTTGGGCTCTCTGACCCAAGAGAGGCGGAGCTTCTAGTTTGCTGACATAACTCCTTTAAAAGAAAGAGGGGGAGCCAGGCTGAGTGGTGGGGAAGCCAGTGGTGGTAGCACAGGCCTTTAATCCCAGCACTCAGGAGGCAGAGGCAGGTGGATCTCTGTGAATTTGGGGTCAGCATGGACTACAAGCAAGAGCCAGTTCCAGGACAGGCTCCAAAGCTATAGAGAAACCCTGTCTTGGGGAAAAAAGAAAAAAAAAAAGGAAGAACAAAGAAAAGAGAGAGAGGGGCAGGTGCTTGCTCTCTCATGTGGTGGCCAGAGATCCGGATTGCTGTTTCCATTCACCCAAGGGCAGAACAAAAGACCACGGAGGCGGCTCTCTAACTTTGTATTCGTGAGTGTTACTAATAAATCTTTGATATCCTTTTATTCGGGCTCTCGTGGATTTACATACTTCCGCCTACAGTGAACAACAGCAGCAGAGTCCTTCACTGGTCAACAAACTAAAACGGAACACTAGATTTCCAGGCTTTCTCCCAGAGAGGCACAGCTGAGATGCCAGGTCCTAGTTAGTGGAATGGAAACAGAAAAGGAGTATAGATTATAAAGCTTCTAAGAAGTCCAATCACGTGCCGGCCAGTGATGTTTTAGTCAGTGTGCTAACAGGTATCTCATCGCCAATGGTGCCCATAAAACTGTAACGGAGCAAAATAACCCAGCATCAAGAAAACACACAGCTGAAGAATCAGCAAAAGAAAACTGCAGAAGAAGAAATGCCTCTGAGGAAACTGGCGGTGGAAGGGTTAGGAGAAGATTTCAGACTTCAAGTGGCTCAGGAATGAATGCACTGGAAGACATGGATACCCAGTACTAAGGTGTCCTCACAGACCGAGAGGGCTGTTCACAGAGAATTGTCTGACTGAAAAGAAGATACAGAGCAGCCAAGCCACCATGGACATATTTCTGAAAAATGTGAACGAAGGAAGAACCTGACCCAGAGAAAGTTCCAGTTCCCTCCTTCACGAGAGAGCCCAGAAGGACTTAGTACCCATAGGGTAAGGTACATGTGGGCCTGACCCTCTATAGGCCTAAGAGAAGGTGTGTGTTTATGTTTATGTGTTAGTTCCTAGGACAAGCTTTAAATACACACACACACACACACACACACACACACACACACCACAACAATAGAGAAAAGCTTATAGAGTAAGCATATAAAGAAAATGTTTTTTTGTGTAACTGTACAGCATGTGTTTTAAGCTGTTATCAGGGTTTATATTTTTAAACAGTGGGCCAGTGAGATGGCTCAGTGTGTAAAGTATTTGCTGCCAAGCCTGACTTTCTGGGTTCAAGCCCTGGCAACCCATGGTGGAAGGAAACAAACATAAAATCTTTAAATGTTTAAAAAGAAAAATAAGGATAATTCATCATTGAAGACAGAACTAGTTTCATGAACTTTTCCTAAGTTGAAGGTCCACTGAGAACACAGCATTTCTAAAGTGACAGCAGTGTACTCGGCCTTGGCTTCCACTTATCATGCGCTCACAGGCTCGCTCAGAGCAAGTTCCAACCCCGCAAGCCCATCCATCACCATTACACAGAGGCACCGGTTAACCTTTTATAGATAGACCTTTCTGTACCTTTGCCAAGTTTAGATATATTTGGATATACATATACTGGCCATTGTGTTATAGCTGCCTACATCCAGTATTTAGTGCAAGTACCAAGCTCTATACAGGTAGCCTAGACTCAACAGGCTAGCTGACATTGTCTAGGTAGGAAGTCTGCTAACCCACTGTGGTGGTTAAATGAGAGTGGCCCCCACAGGCTCATAAATTCTAATGTTTGCTTCCCAGTTAGTAGAACAGTGTGGAAAGGATTAGGAATTTTCAAAAGTCCGCACCAGCCAGACGTGGTGGTGCACACCTTTAATTCCAGCACTCAGGAGGCAGAGGCAGGTGGTTCTTTGGATTCTCTGAGTTCAAGGCCAGCCTGGTCTGTGAAGCTAATTCCAGGATAGCCAGAGAAATTCTAACTTGATTTGAGAGAGAGAGAGAGAGAGAGAGAGAGAGAGAGAGAGAGAGAAAGAAAGGCAAGAAAAGAAAAAGAGCCCACACCAAGCCCAGCATCAGTGTTGCCCACCCTCTCTCTACCTGATGCCTGCAGATGGATCAGGATGGGAGTTCACAGCTATGGGTCCAGTGTCATCATGCCTGTCTGCCAGATGCCATGCTGCCCACCATGATGGTCATAGAATAGCCCCCTGAAACTGTAAGCAAGCCCCCATTACGAACTGTCTTTTAGAAGTTGCTTTGATCATGATATCTCATCACAGCAATAAAGTAACTAAGACAGCATCACTGCATGTTTAAGTAAAGAAGCGATGAATTGCTCAACACTGTTGTTCTTAGGACTTCTCTCTAGCATTGTGGTTATAGCTCTAAAAGAACAGGGAACTCATTTTGCTTCCCTTTAATCCTTTTACTTCCAGGACCCAGAGGTGCGATGGCTCAGCAGGAAATGACACTTGCTGCTAACCTTGAGACACAAGTTTTATTCCTGGAACCTATAGGGCAGGAAATAAGTGATTCCCATAAGCTGTCCCCTGACCTCCTAGGCATGCTATGGAACACGTGTGCATACACATACACACAAAAATACATAAGTAAATAAATGTAATAATATCCCTTTTAATGTCTAAAAAAGTGGGCATGGTGGCTGAAATAGAGGTCTTGGTCTTGGATTCAACCCCAGATTAATGAACCTAGGTAGGCCAGGGACACAAGGAACCATCCCAAGGCCTTGGGACTCTTCTTCGCATAAACTGTGTTTCACCAACAACATGCAGACAACCCTAATCCTTAATAGCACTTCCTGGCTCCATCCACAGCTTTATTCAAGAGTAACACTGCTTTCACAAACAGAGCAAATGTGTGAGGGTGGCAAGGAGAGGGTACAAATGAAGGGTTGATAATGGTTCCATGTCTTAAAAACTGAGGCTTCCAAGCTAGTGGTGGTGGCACATGCCTTTAATCCCAGCACTTGGGAGGCAGAGGCAGGCGGGTGGATCTCTATGAGATTGAGGCCAGCCTGGTCTACAGAGGGAGTTCCAGGATAGGCTCCAAAGCTCCACAGAGAAACCCTATCTCGGAAACCAAAAACCAAGCCAAACCAAACCAAACCAAAAAAAAAAAAAAAAAAAAAAAAACCTGAGGCTTCCTTTGGAAAATATGTGTTCACAAACCAGTTCCAAAGACAAGTCAAAAGCATCCAGAAAGCATGGCTACGAGGCAGTGGAGTGGCGTTTTTAACTCAGTGATGAGACAAAAGGAGAGCAAGCTAGAGCCACAGATCCGATTCTGCTTTCCTGAGCTCAGTTGCTTTGGTTCGTCATAGTCAGGCTATTTACAGAGGTGTGAACTAGGACTTCATGGAGGTCCTCCATGGCCAGGACATTTCCGGTGCTTTTGTCATTAGCATCCTTCTGCAGGACCAGATTGCTTGATGATAAGAGGGGCAGCTCCTGTCCCTTAAATACACCACATAGCCTTACAAAACCCAGCATGAAGCCTGGGGTGCATGCAGATTTGCTGGGGGGAGGGTGGTTGCCAGCAAAAAGCCTTCAGATTTCCTGCTACTTCTCAGCCTTTGCAGCTGGGGCAAGCTGGCATAGGAACAGACAGGGCAGAGGCAAGCACAGACTGGAACTCTTGTGTGAAAGGCACAGTGCTCTAGTTGGTCTCTTTCTAGTGTCAGCTCTGCCCTGCTGTCGGGGAGAATTCTGCACTTTGTGGCTAATTTCCAAAGATGAAAATTTGGCTCAAGCCAAGATTACCACATGGTGTGGCTACCTTCAGGTACGGTGTATATTGCTTTTAAAACTCTCTGAACCTTTCCGCTCTTAAACATTTAGCAAGTTAGAACTTAGGTACACAGCAGTGTAACTTGATAGTATTTCCTACCAACATTTCACAATGTGTATTCATTCTACAAATATTTTATTGAATAAAACATACTAGCGAGTTACAAAGCACACACGGGTGAGCATTGGTTGTTTGATTTTAATGCCAACGAGCCAAGTGTGAGATACCTGACTGTCCTCCCTTCCTCCCTCCCATTGCCGCTGTGTTTCCAGAATGTTCTCCATATTCTCCAAGCTGGAGGTATATGTTCCAGGGGCCATTTGCTATGACTGTTTCCTTCCAGCTTTAAGGATTATGGGATGGCAGACATCTACTTTGAGGACTTTATTAGAAAAAGGCGTTTACAGTCAGAGAATAAAGGAGGAAACACAGAAAGAATGGTCCACTGCAGTCAGGATGCAGTGAAGGCTAAAAGTCTGATGTCTTAAGGGCATTCATTCTAAAGGGTGAGTCAAACCATTGAACTCTCTCTAGCGAGAACGATGAGCAGCCATCAGACTTGGAGAGAGATTTAGAAGATAAAAGCAAAACAGAACTCTAGGACGAGGCCTGAGGGAGAACTTCCTCAAAAATGAGACCAGTGTGGTGGATTCGGTAGACATTCAAGCTGTCTTGGGGCTAAAGCCCTGCATAGTAACATGCTAGGGCTAATATACAGTTCACGGTGGTTCTGGACTCTGGACTTAGCTGTCATTACACAAACTCTCAACAGTAATGGATTGTGTTAAAATCCCGGAGGTTTGGCTCAGGATGCAGGCTCTAACAGACATAAGCATTTTCGTCTGCTCATTTCAGTATCCTAAAGCAGAAAGGAGTTGAACTTCTACCTTTTCATATCTCACATGTGCCCACGTCACCCAGGCTTCTGCCTGCTCATCAGGACGTGACATGTCAACCACGACACAC